TTTTTTTTTTTCTTTTAAAATAGATGAGATATGGGATTGATGTTGCAATATGAGGACTATAAGGGAAAATACAGAATGTGCTTTTCTTCATTAGTCTAGCACTGACTATTCACATTTACTGTTGTTTATTTTTAATTTTTAATTTTTTCTTTTTTGAACGACTTGATTTTTTTTCCTGTGATTTTAATACTCTACTTACCGGTAACTATGATATTTAATGCGGTTTTTACCAGGAAATACGGTATTTACTAATCATCAAAGTTGGTCTTTAAATTTTTAAGTAAATATAGTATTTACCAGTTGATGGAGCCAATCGCCATATTTTTGAATAATATGATAAATATGGTATTAATTGGTAAATATAATATTTACAAGTCACCGGATGTGGTGTTAGATTTTCAAATAAATATGGTAAATATGGTATTTACTAATAAATATACTGTTAAATAGTCACCGGAGTCGGTGGCTAAATTTTTAAATAAATATGATTTTTACTAGTGAATACAGTATTTACCGGTAAATATAGTATTAAACAGTCGCTAGAGTCGGTAGCCGATTTCGGATAAGATTTTACTAGTAAATATGGTATTTATTGGTAAATAAAATGTTAAACGGTCGCCAAAGTCGGTAACTAAATTTTTAGATAAATATAAATTTTCCTAGTAAATACATTATTAACAGGTAAATACAGTATTTATCGGTAAACATAGTGTTAAACGGTCATTAGAAAATAGTCGCCGGCATCGGCCGCAGAAAAATAGTCGCCGGAGCTGGTAGCCGGATTTTTGGATAAATATATTTTTACTAGTAAATACGGTATTTACCAGTAAATATAATGTTTACTGATAAATACAATGTTAAACAGTAATCAAAAAACAGTCACCGGCATCACCCCTGAAAAATAGCAACCGGAGCCGACCGCTGGTTACTGGCACCGACCATAATCTATCTTTTATACAAAAATATACTATAATCTATCAAATATGTTATAATTTACTATTTTGTAAAAAATATAGGTTTAAGAGGAAAAAGAGAGGTGGAAAAGAAGGTTTAGGAATGCTTTTAAGTTTTTAATAATGTTGGATACTTAAAATATCAAATTATGCTATAATCTACTATTTAAAAAATGTAATAATTTACTAAAGATCCTATCAGATATGCTATTTTTCTCATTCTCCCTATAAAAAATAAATAAATAAATTCTGTTATAATTTACTATTTTTTTAAAAAATGCTATAATTTACTAAAGATCCTAGCAAATATGTTATTTTTTTTTTCATTTTCCCAGTAAAAAATAATCAAAATATATAAACACAACTAGCAGTTCAGTAATTGTGGAAATATGTTTTGAGAGGTTGATTTAATTGATTGATTTAAATATCTTTGGAAGGAAGACAAACAAACATTTAAAATATCAGTTTTCGTCTTTGATTATAAGTGTAGAAACCAATTTTGAGAAGTCAGTAATCATTTGCATAGCTGCATTAGTTTTTGGGATAAATTAAAAATATGTTTATCTGCACATTTTTTGGTTTCTAACGTTTAGTGCAGAAACAAAAAATAGTAAATACTCTGTCATGTGATCCTCGTTCTAGAAAAAAACATAAATTTATGTGTAATTCATAAATAATTGAAAAGATTTCGGGCCACCGGCTACGGGATGAAGATCTAGGTCCGGACCAGATATTTGGGTTGGCCCAGATCTTTATGCAGGCCATATATCGGGTTAAACAGATGGGCTACGTACTGGCCCGTTGAGCCTGGTCCATTTCTGGCAAAATAACATGGTTCATTGTACAAATAGTCCCTCAAGTTTATCATTTATCCCGTTTAGTCTCCGATTTTTAAAATATCTCACAATTAATCCTTAAAATTTTATTTTGCTTCAATTTTGATCCTTACATTACTTAGGTATTATTTATTTTGGCAGAATTTGTAAAAAATAAAGGATGAAAATTGGAAACGGTAGTGATCGTAACAATATAAAAAATAAATGTTAATTTTCACATATAGTCTTTAAATTTTAATTGTTTTTAATTTTAATCTTTCATTTACACAGATTTCACCAAATATTTTAACACTCAATTAATGAAAGGACTGGATTAATTATAGAACATTGTAAAAACTATTGTCCAAAGTAAATTTAAAGTAAATTTTAGGGCTAGCTGTGAAATTAACTCAAAATAGCATGATACACGTAGGTCTCGTTCACTTTGCGGATTCGAGTTTTTAATTCGAGCTGAGATGTGACATTTTATTAGAATTTTTACTGTAGTAAAAAAAAATTAGATGTGACATTTTTTTAAAACCTTTTACTGTAGAAAGTTAAAATTAAAAATTTGAATCGGTAAAATTAATACACCGTATGTTTTCTTATATTTTGCAAAATAATAATAATAATAATAAAAAAGAGTACGACTTTTCAAAAGAAAGAGGATGCCAAGTCTGACCTTCTAAAATTGATTTGACAACCGAAGAAACCTGACATTCCAAGCAGAGGGAACAAACCAGCAACCCACCTCAAGAAATCAAAGACCCAAGATCAGGACTCTGAAATCTCTTGACGCTTTGAGAGAGTTTCAGACCCAAAACTAAAACAAAGAAACCAAAAAGAAAAGAAAAATGGGGTTCTTCACTCTCGCCATAGGAGGCCTTGGTTTCATCTTCATCGGCGCATGGCAAGCCTTCACCTTCTCTACCCCAAAACCAAATCAAATCTCTCTTCCATCTTCTCCTCTCACACACTCATCTTCCAAGCCAAGCCCATCTCCTTCTTCTTCTTCTTCGTCGTCTTTATCTTTCCTCTGCATCTCAGTCTTCTCCTTCCTCTTCATCCTCAACTCGCTCTTCTCCTTCATCGACGCCCTCAAGTCACGCGACCGAGTCGGCACAGCCCTCCAATTGCAGGTCCTCGCCATCGCCGCCCTCTTCTTGCTATACGGCGTCGCCGGACTCCTCGTAAATTCCGCCAATTCCTTCTCTTTGCCTTCTTCGCTTCTCGATTCGATCCTTCTCTTCGCTTTCATCGAAGAGTTTCTGCTGTATTACCTCCAAAGAAAGGACCAAAGCGGAATCGAGAATCAGTACTTCGATCTCTTGCTCGTCCCCATTGCTGTTTGCGTGATTTCCACGATTCTCGACCTGAAATCCCCCCAGAATTCGAACTTTCCCAAATTCTTTCGCGGCGTGGGGCTGATTCTCCATGGAATGTGGTTCGTTCAAATGGGGCTCTCGTTTTACACGAACTTGATCTCCCATGGGTGTTCTTTGCACGAGAAGAGTAGAGGCAATTACTCGGTGAAGTGTAAGGGACATCCTGAGTATCACAGGGCTAGGTCAATTGCGACGCTTCAGTTCAATTGTCATCTTGCTCTTTTCGTGGTTTTGGTGTCGTTTATGTACTCTTTAATCTCCCGGAGATATGGAAGCAATGGTGAGTTTATGCCGTATCGGCCGCTCGTCGAGGAAATGCAGCCATTCGAGAATCAGAATCAATTCACTTTGGATTCTGATGAAGATGATGTTGGTGAGGAAGGAATTAGGGAAGAGCAAAATGTGGTTTCAAAGCAAAAGGCAAGTATCGTGGAACATGGTTTGAATGGTCATGCATCTCATCAGTGAGTTATAATATTGAACAATTTTATTCATTTTTCATTTCTATAGATGAATATGGGAATTGCCCTTTATAATGTTTTATAGATTTGGCTTTTAGATCTATGCATACATTGAGTTGTAAATTGTAATTCGGGTTATATTGTTCTACAACTTAGCTTGTTTTGTAATGGGTGCTGTATTGTTAACTGGTTCATTGATGAAATGTGACTGATTTGGTTACCGATAGTTTGTATTGTAAGATGTATGATTTATGAATGCATAAATGATTGCTTGAAAATTTTGTACTCAAGTCATATAAAAAAGAGTCATATTATGCCTGTAAGATGCCGTGTTTTACAGGGAAATTTCAGAAGGATGAGGGTTGCATCATGTGCATATTATTGGGTATATTTTTC